ACTTTTAGACTCCTTTAGCGGTACACTCTATAGAGCCCACACTAGCCTCAAAGCTACTCTCTTCTAGGCTTCGCTCCAGGGTGCCGGGATTACAAGTAAGCACAGCCAGACCCAGTGAAAACAATGCCTGAGCCTTATGTTTTCAGCTTTGGTTTTGTATTGCTGGGGCTTGTGGACTCCGGACACATACTCTATCATTGTGTTATAACCCCGGTTCTCAAGTATTAATACACCCTTTCTCCCAGGGAGATCTTATGATAATAGGTGTTGAGTTAACGTGTTGAAGAACTGAAACTCCAAAGAGCAAGGAAGAACCAGGATTTACAGTTTACACCAGTCTTCCTCCCAGGCTAAGGAGCCAGGAAAGCACTTCACAGTCCTGGAAATGTCCACTTCCTTATTAGATATGCTAAAGCACCTACCACTTACTCTTGCCAATCACTCTTCCGTCCCCCACCCTACCCCACATAACCTCTAGGAAGGTTGCCAGATATCAAGAAGAGAAGCAAGCCATTGAGGTGTAAAGGATAGGGGAGACAAAAATGTAAAAACTGGGGTGTATTTAGAACAGTTTAAACTCTGTCACTTTCACGTGAGACCCATCCTGGTAGGGTTTCTGTGCACCCCGCACCCACACACCTGCCTGCCATAAAAACGTATTTTACTGCATTCAGGAGACATTATCACAAATTAAATATTACAATACACTCTAATAAAGTTAAGTCTATACCAGTAACAAGGCTGTTGTGTGTGTGTGTGTGTGTGTGTGTGTGTGTGTGTTACAGTCCAAGCAATGGTTGGGGTTTAAGTTATCTGAGGGGCACAGGATGAAGCTCCTACTTCCGCTCCTTAAACTGGCAGAAACACCGCTCTGCAGGAAACATGCACACACCTCTTAATTACAGATAGGAGCTTGGAGAGGTGGGTGGGGCGAGCGGAGAGGGCGGGGTCCCACTGAACATCCAGCAGAATTTAAGAACCCAGGCTTGTTGGGCTGGCTTCAAACCCTGAGTGGAGCACTGTTGACTTGGGGTTAGTTCTTTAACCTCATGGGACTTCAGCTCCCCTACCTGGAAGATGGGAGGTACAACTAAGGGCTTGGGGCTGCTGGAAAGACTAAGTGAGGGGATAAACAAAACAAAACCAGAAGCCATCCTGCATCCCTTAGCCTAGCCTGTCACACAGCAAGTCTGTGGACCTTATCTGGAATCTGCCGCATCATCATCACTTCATCACCGAACTGAGCATCAGCCCAGTTCTTCCAGATGAGTGCTGACCCTAATTTTACAGATGCCAGAGCCCAGGCCAAGGTCACAGGAGGAGATGGTAAAACCAGCCATGAAACCACAGTGGCCATCATTATTACTATCACCATAGTAATTACCACTTACTGCAAGCTAGGTGAGGTGAAGGGAGCCTCACAGATTAGCTCATCATTGGCTCAAAACACCCTGTTTGGGAAGAATGTCCTATTTTACAAACGAAGACACCACTTTTAGCTAAGGAGCAATGTAATAGCATGACCCCCCCCCTACACACACACACTCATGAGTCCAAATCCCAAGGTTTCTTCCACAACCATCTGGTATCTACTTTACAGAGATCAAGAGCCAGCACTCGAAGCCCAGAAAGCAAGCCCGGTTGCATGTTTTTGAAATCTCCACTGTAGCAGGCATGGCGATACTTGCTTTCAATCCGAGCACTGAGCAGGCAGAGGCAAGAGGATCCGTATGAGTTCAATGCCAGTCTGGTCTACATGGTGAGTTTCAGGACAGCCAAGGCTACTAGTGAGACCCTGACTCAAACAAAGAGCAATACAATAAAATTTAAAACTCCATCGTTAAATGGAGCCGGGAATACCCTCTCAAGGGAGGGTCTATTGTCCTGTGGTATGAAGAGACTGCCTGTCCCCAAAGGAAAGCCTAGCGTCCTACCTACTTCCTTCCAGAAAGTTTGCTCTATGGGTCATAGGGGGAAAATGGGATTTCGTTAACATGAAGCACAGAAGTTCTTGTCTATTGTATTTTCAATCTTCTAGGAATTAGAAATAACACACATATTCTCCTAAGGAAAATTCACCTTCTTACAGCTCCCCTACCACCAAAGAAGTTTCTTCATTAATACGTGACTGTCTTCTGTAGTGGCACATGGTTGTAAAAACATCCACGGAGTCATTAACTACTACCCCATCCCCCACCCCACCCCCACACTTCTTACAACCCTAACCTATGTGGTGGGGACAATACAACAGAAGAGTAAGTACATCTCCGTTCTAAAACAAATACGTAGCAGGATGCAGGCCAGTAACCCCAGCTACCCGGAGATTGAAGTGGTAGGACCTGTAAGCTCGGTTTGAAGACTCACTGGGCTACAGATGGAGTTTAAGGACAGCCTGGGGAATTTAGTGAGACCCTGACTCAAGATTTTAAAAGAAGAGGGCAGGGTTATAGCACAATGGCAAAACTCTTGCCTAGTATTTGCGAAGTCTTGGGTTGAGTCCCAAACACAACAGTAGCAATGCTGATGACGATGTGCCGAGACCTAGTGCTAGTCGGGTGCTCACTGGGTCATTTCCTGGGCCCTTGTCTTCAACTATCTGTTACTCCTTTAAAATACAGCGCTCTGTAATTCAGAGGAAAATTACTTGTCAGCACAAACAAATCCTAAGGTGAGTTTTCTGAGTAGCCGGTTGGTTTCAAGGAAGCATGACACTTCGTTGCCTTGTTGGCTACAAAAAAGTGCATCTCTTACTAGAGACCCTGTTGCATCAAAGGCCAGGCTAGGGACCCTCAGATGACAGACCGCTCTCCATGGGTTGGCAGGAAAGTAAATGGGAAGGGTGGAGCCGCCTGCTGTAGCTGACTTGGCCTAGGACTCTCGGCCCACTGTTTGGTGCCTGCCAATTCTAGATGAAATTCAAGTTTAAGTAAAGCATCCAAGCCAGGAAGTCTTGTCTTGGCCAGTGCTCCAGGCCTGGCTGAATTCCATCAGCTAAAATAAAAGACAGCAACTACTCCCTCTTAATGCAGAGTCAAGTTTAGATGAAACACCTGCCCTCCCTGAGCCTCCACAGACAGACTCACAATCGTAGACATCTAAGAGCAGGCTGCTACAGGCCATGCAAGTCCCTATCAGCTCTCCTAACTTCATCGTGCCCAAAACCCTCCAAAGGAAAAACATAGAAGAAACTGTCGTTTAAGAATTCAAGTCCTACAAATCAAAGGCCAACTACTTTCAGAAGTGAACCTTTTCCTTTGAATAAGAGACACAGCCTTGTTATGTTTGGTTGAAGCAGATATCAGTGACCACACATACAGTTACAGACACTTGTCCTCCATGCCTCTGTGGCTTCACGGTTTATATTTTAAATGTCTTATCTAAACAGTGCTACTGCTGTTAACCCTGGCAGTGACAGTCCCAATGGAGTGGGCTGCTTTCAGGTAAGAGGCAGGCATCAGTAAGGACAGGTTTTGGAATTCTCTTCTACAGATTCCTGACTCCTTGGTCTTTGATGAAAGAGTCCCTAGCCAACAGTCAAGAGCAAAGCAAGAACACTGAGTGCAACGTCTCAGGCTGTCGCCAGCATGCGAGCCATGTGTGCCGCATCAAAACAGCTCAGGCTGTCGCCAGCATGCGAGCCATGTGTGCCGCATCAAAACAGCTCAGGCTGTTGCCAGCGGTAGTCATGTGTGCCGCATCAATGTTGAGTCCTGCTGACAGCCCAGCTTTCTTGAAAGCAACTGTTTAAAAATATATTTGGTGTGGAAGGGCAGGAGAGCGAGGTTTTAAGGAAGACAGTTTCTGAACGAACACACTCCATCACTGTAATAAAATAGATAATTGTGGTACATAAATTACCACTACTCTGTCTTCCCATAGCAGAGCCCCCTCCATTAACCAGATAATGTTGGCTTACCCACTCCGTGCAGACTTTATCAGGAAGAAAAGAGAGGCTCAGAGTGGTCCTTTTTAACTTGCTGCAGATCACATCACAAGTGACAGAATCAAAGATTGGAAGCAGGTTTACTGGGTCTCCACGCTACAAAACCCAAACCTACTCTGGCAGCCTCTAGGGCCTGGGTTTTAAGCCTGCCTCTCCTCTGGCCAGCATATACCAGGAGGCCTGTCCATTTTCCAGTGGCTCCTGGATCACAATCACTGGCATCTACTACCAGGTACGAACAGGGGGACTCTCCTCTCCAACAGACTTCCTGGAAATTAACCCTGAACAGTCCAGGTTTTTTGTTTGCTTGTTTGGTTTTTCCAGACAAGGTGGTTTCTCTATAGCTTTGGAGCCTGTCTTGGAACTAGCTCTTGCAGACCAGGCTAGCCTTGAGCTCACAGAAATCTATCTGCTTCTGCCTCCTGAGTGCTGGGATTAAAGGTGTGCACCATCAGCTCCAGGTATTCTTAAAATCTAAAGCGTTTAAGGAAGCAGTCAGACTCTGTCCTGCAGGCATACCATTGGCTTCACCCTTAAAGGCGACCCTGCCAAGCAAGCATTGTCTTGCTTCCTTCTTTTGTATCCCTTGAAACTCAAAGGAAGTCCTCCCTCTACCTCAGGACCTTAGGAGGTCCCTGGAAACAGCCTTTGCAGGCTGCACTCGGGAAGGTCCCACTTAGCAGGCACTTTCTTTTGGCAGCTACCCTTAGGTCTCTGGCTCCTAATCCCTACGTGCACATTGGAATTGCCCGGACAGTTCTGAAGCAATAGCCTAGCGATTTAGACAGAATTGGTCTGTGGAATGGTCTGGTCATCTGGATCTGCGCGGTTCACACTTGATGATTCTAAGTTGCAGGCTGGCGGGCTGAGAATAGGGACCTCAGATCACAGTGGGATCCTCGATTCCGCTGTCTCTGAAATGCACGCCTCCGAACCTGGGCTTCATTTGGAGCTCGCGGTGCTTCTCCGCCCGGTTTCAGCCAGAACTTTTCGACAGCAGCTTTACATTTCCTCAGCTGATCCGGAGAGCATGCTCGCACCAATCCCCGTGACTTACCAAACTGACAGGACTTTGACTCCGGTGGCGTGGGAGCGCGGTGGTCCGCAGTGCTGGAATCCCGGGACTAGGGTCGCGGATAGAAAGGGACAGCAGCAGCAGGCGGGCAGAGCGGGTACTGCGGCTGGCGGTCCGGGAACTGGGACTGGCGGGAACCACGGTCGCTCCGCCTGGCCGCGCCCGGGCTCCGGTGGGCTCCCGGGAGAGAATGGGGCGGAGCGGGCGGACGAGGCGGGGACCGGCCGTGGCGCTGTTCCCTGTCACTCCTCCCCCGCCAGAGCCGCGGCACACTGCCCTGGACCAGCCGCCCCTGCGGAGCGGTAGTGGGCAGGCCTCAGAGTTCGCCTAGGGGTGACACACTGGGAACTCGTCGTGCCAGCTCTGCCACGGCCGCTGAGAGCCAAGGTCCGCCCCCTGAAAGTGCCACCCAGAGCCTGTAACCACAACCAATGCCCAGACCGGGGCGGGAAGGCTTGTTAAATGGAGTCTGTGCCTCGCAAGAAGCTGCCCACTAAGCAAATTTCATTTTGATCTACTTTCAGAGACCAAAGCTTTCTTCCCGTCTGTCGTGAAGTCTTCTCTTGACCCTGAACGTTTTAGAGCCTTTTTTATTTACTCTAACGTGAAGGAATTGTTAACATGCTAACACATTTTCCGCATAAATATTTTTAAACGTTGTTAACAGTTCATCAACGGGGCTTTTGAATACGTGGCCACATAGTCACAGCTATGAAAACTCGCGTGAAGGCTGCCTTTTGAGAAAAGCAAAAGCGAAACTTCGCCACAGTGTGTAAGGGTGTAAGTGCGAGGGCGGCGGAGGGGGTGCAGCCCACGATTCTCCTCTGGCAGTGTGTCGCAGTGCTTTGCGCAACAGGGACAACTTTCTTCTAAGAGTCTGCTGTTTCCAAGGGCTGGAGACCCAGGATCAAATGCACGGGGCACCTCTGGCTCATTGCTTGCATTTAGTCTTCTGTTCTTTGCTTAATCTATTCACTTTTTTTTTTTGAGACAGCTGTTCCTTACTTGTTCTTGTGGTCTTTTTTTTTTTTGGGGGGAGGGGGTGGATGATTGTATATTAATGAAGATTTGGAAGTAGTGCACAGAGCCATGCATCCTTAACCCAATTTCCCCCTAGCCCTGTGGAGCTATGTACAGTCTCAAAAGACTCAGTAAGCAGAAAATAGACAGTACTACAGTCAGCATACACACCAGGTCCTCCAGAAGCATACCTTTACATCATCCCGCCCTCTGCTCAGTCTCTGGCAACCGCAAACTCGTTCCCATTTCTATAATTTTTCAAGATTTAAATGCATGGGATCGTGCATAGGTTGAATTTGGGATAACATTTAAATGCTGTATGGCCTTTCTTTGTGTGTGTTTAGGTGTGTAAGCTCATGCATACCATGGTGCACAGGTGGAGGTCACAGAACAACTCGCAGGAGTTGATTTTCTCTTTCCACCATGTGGATTTGGGAGTGGATTGAACTCGAATTTGGCAGCAGATCCTTTGCCCACTGAGCTATCTCACCAGCTCTGGATAGCATTTCACTGTTGTGATTTCATTTAGCATAATCCTGAAAGGATTCGCATAGATCATTGCTTCTATCAATACTTACTTCCCTTTTATTATTATTGTTGGGCACTATTCAAGATATGAGTCCTGTGGCTTTATAAAAAAGCACTGCTCACCTGTTCACAGACGCCTGGGCAAATTTTACTTTGTTTACTGTGAGGAAACCACTCTGCTCATTCCCACACAAGCTTGTGTGTCAGCCGAAGTCTTCGTTTCTGCAGGTCAATTTCTCAAAAGCCTGCTGAGCTATCTCCAGTAATAGCTAAAGCATTTCCCATTCCCATCATCAACCTGCCAAGGGGCTGCTTCCCGGCTCTTCGCCAGCCTCTGGTGCTATTTGGTCCTGGCCGTCTGGCCAGCTGCATTGTCCTGGTGAGACATCGCTGTGGTTTTAGCTGCTGCTGCTGCTGCTGCTGCTGGACTTCTTGCATGGGCCTACTTGCCATCTGTATATTCTCTTGAAGAAAACCTGTCTCCGTGTCTCTTGTTCCCTTTCTAAGTGCTGTTCTATGTGTGGCTTATAAATATTGTCTCCTATTCTTTGCCTTTTCTTTCTTCCTCTCCCTTCTCTGCTTCCTTCCCTCTCTCTGATAGGGTTTCCCATGTTCCAGGCTGTCCTAAAACTCACGAGATTGTCAAGGATGACCTTGAACATCTAGTCCGCTTCCCAAGAGCTGGAATTGCAGACATATGCCACCATGGTCAGATACCATCGACCAAACCCAAGGCATGCCAGGCAAAGGCTGTTAGCAACCAAGCTACATACCCCGGACCCCTGCTTGCCCTTTCGTTTTGCGAGGTCCAGCTTACTCACCTTCCCTTTGACCAATAATGCTTTTGGAGACAAATCTGAACTCTGCCAACTCCCAGATCTTAAAAATGACAGTTAGGACTTTTTTTCTAATAGTTTTATAGGTTTGGGATTGCTTGTTTTCCTTTAGCAGGGTCTTGTTATAGAGCCCAAACTGGCCTCACACTATGGTCCTCCCCAAATTCTGGGGTTATAGTCTGTGCAACCATAGCTGGCCAGGTCACAGCAGACATTTGTTCTTAGGCTCTAGAATCCCCCTTCTCCGTATCTCCATCACTGATTCAGGATCGTTAGCTATAAAGGTTCGTGCATACCTTGGCCAGAAGTCAGTTTGGTGTGTTCTCCAGGGTCTTTCCTCTGCTCCATTGCTCTCTGAAGATATCTGTTCACCAGCAATTATACTGAGTTCTCATTTGATTCTCTCTCTCTCTTCTGAAATTGCTTTACCTGTTCCACTCTGATAGTTTTAGAAAAATGAGTCATGTTGCAACTTTGATAGCAGTTTGTTCATTCTGATCCAGGTTCAGGAAGAAGCAACAATTTTATTATGGGTCTTCCCTGCGAAGATTTCCTTCGGGTCTTCCCACACACGACTGTTACGTTTATTACCCATTCACATATGTCCACTTTGATTCCTTTCACTTTTGTAGTTTTTACCCCACACACCCTGCTTATAGTTTTCTAAGATTGAAACTTAAACATCTTCATGGTTTTTGGCTTCTTTTTAGCTATCATTTTGAAATAGAAGCTCATTGTGTGGTCCTTGTGGGCCTTGAACTTGCAATCTTTCCTCCTCGGCCTCCCAAGTGCAGTGATTATAGGCATAGCTAGCATTTTCATTTTTTGGAAAGCCATTGTATACATGATTGGTCAAAATTACAATGCTCCAGCCCAAGTGGGAAAGTGTGGTGATTCCTTTAAGAGGTCAATATATAGAATTACCACACACTCCATCATTCTGCTCCTAGCTGTAAATACAAGAGAATTAGAAAGTGGTACTCAAAAATGTGTACAAAAACGTTTTAAAACTATGGGTACTTACATGCTCTTGGAAGAAATATTCATAATTGAATATGAGAACAATCCAGATGCTCACGATGGGATGAAGGCTAAACAAAATGAGGTGTATGCAGACAGCTGTGGTGTTCATTCGTAGAAAGGGATGGGACTGAGATGCCTGCTACAGTAAGGGTAGCTGGAGGACACTGGACTGGAGGAGCTACACAAACAGGCACTTGAATGATCCCATTTACATGAAATACACTTGCTAACTAAATCCACATACACAGGGAACAGACTAGAGGTGGGAGAAGAGAAGGCAGTACCTTTGTCCCTGTTTCACTTAGGGTGGTGTGTTTTGAAACTGGAGGTAGTTCTAACACTGAGCATCTAAAAGGTTAACTGTCGGCTTAAAATGGCTGCTTTATAAAAACAGAGCTAAAAATCTGCAAGTGGTATTCTTTTTAAATATTTGCTTTTTAATGTGCATGAGTGTTCTGCCTGCATGGATGTGCGTTGCATGCATACCTGGTACCTGCGGAGACCAGTAGATGGCATCAGATCCTGAGTTACCGACCACGTGGGTACTAGGAACAAAACTCGAGTTCTTTGGAGAAGTAGCTGGTGCTCTTAAGCACTTGAGCTCTCTCTGGCCCCGCTATTTTTTTTTTTTTTTTTTTTTTTTTTTTGCTTTTGCTATACTGGGGATCAAATGCAGGGCCACACACCGTAGGCAAGCTGTCTCCTCCTGAGCTACAGCCCTGGGGAGGTTGTAATTTTACTTTCAGCGCCTATGTGTTCGCCTCTAGTGTAAAGGAATTCAGTGGATTTTTTTTTTTTTGTATTTTATCTTGTATCCCCTGATCCAGCTGGACTTACTTTGTTAATTGTAGAAATAAAACAAAACCTCCCTTGGTATTTTCTATATGGACAATTATGTCAACCATGTATAAATAAGGATGATTCAACCTGCTTTTTAAAAAATTACTACACCTAAAATGTGTGTGTGTTTGCAAAAGAAGTCAGAGAAAAACCTGAAGGAATCAGTTTTCTCCTTCTACCATGTGGGTCCTAGGGATCAAACTCAGGCTTGGCAACAAAATTGTTCTCAATTTTAGGGGGAAAGCATTCAGTGTAGTGTTACCATGAAGTTTTTATAAACCCTGTAAAATTTAGTTTCCTTTACATATTTTTCTTAGTGTTTCAATTGTGACTGGTGTTGACTTGTGCCAAATGCTTTTCCTGCATCAGTTGATATGTGGTTTTTTTCTCTTTCTTATTTCATTTTGTCACTGAAGCGACTTGACAGATTTGCAGACACAACACCATCATGAGGTCTCTGGAATAAATCACTTTGTCATGGCTCACAAGTCTTAGGTATGACCCAATCCTATTAACTCCTATTTCCTTAAGCTTCTTTTTTTAAAATCCACAGCCACCCACCTGTATTATTTTTCTTTGTATTATGGTGTTTTAGGTACCAAGTTAATACCAGAGTCATAAAAATGAATTAGGTAAATTAGCCACTGTCTGTTTCCTTGGCTCTACATTTACCGTGTCTGAGACGAACAAGGTTCTTGTTTGCTTTGGCTCACGTCTGCACCCCAGACCCTCCTCCCCTTTCAAACTGCTCCACTCTTTGCAGCCTCTTGTAGACTGCAGGAGGCTAGGTTATGTTTTAAATACCTTTTGCCAATTTCTATCCTTTAATTATCAGACTTGATTTTTACATGTTCAAGTGTTTGCTAACGTGTATGTATCTACATCACATGTATGCTTGGTGCTGAGGATACCAGGAGAGGGTGTTGGGATCCCCTGGAGCTAGAGTTATAGGTGGTTGTGTGGGTGCTGGGAACCAAAACCGATCTTCTGAAAGAAAGCAGTAAGCACTCTTAACCTGAGATTTTTCAGCAGCTCCAATCGCACACTCAGACTACTTCCGCTTCGTTAGCATGCTGAAATATAACTCTGCCATTTTAGTTTTGCTTTTAAGTTGGGTCTGGCTGAATTCATGATCCTCCTGCCTCAGCCTTTCAAGTACTAGGATCATAGGTACACACACAAGCTTTCTTCTTGTCTTCTAACAGATATGAGGTGTTTTCTTTTTCTTAAATTTAATTTTTCATTTTGAGTAAATCTTTTCTGCATTTGTTTTATTGACTGCCTACTGGTGTATTTTCCACATTCAAATACGGAACCCTTATCTTCTTTGCTTTCCTCTTTAACTGTGCTCTGTGGTTTAGGACCTTAGTAGTTAGTGTGACAACTTTCACTGCATTGTCAGTATAATTAGGAGACTGAGAAGGGAAGCCTATTGCATTCCTCCTAGTTTTCCTCCTCAGGACCCTTTCATTTTTATGATGCTCAAGGCCTCCTCCTTTTATTATTTCTTTTCTCTTTATTTTCCTCATTATTTTGGGCAGGATGGCTGATAATTCTATTAATTTATTTTGACTTTTCCTTCTGTCTTACTTTGCCCTTATTCTTAGAGATTCTGGGGGTGTTTTTGGTTTTGGTTTCTTGTCTTCACAAAACATGCTTTCTCTGGTCTCCACCATTTCTGACGGGTGAAGCAATCATCAACATTGCTTTCTCTCTCAAAGTGTTACTTCTCACTACTTCCAAGAAGTTTTGGTTTTCCAAACTTTGACTATGGAGTGCTTGGGCGTGTATTTCTTTGGGCTTCCTTGAGGCCCACCCAGCTTCTTTGTCCTTTGCTAAAGTCAGGATGTGTTGACCTCTCTGCAGCCTACCCTCTTCCTGCTTTTTCATGTCACAAGTTAGCTCTTCTGTTAGGAATCAACCAGGCTCCAAAAATCTCTTGGCTTTTTGGTTTTGCCTCCCACCTCTTGTATTTTTTTCCCACACTGGCAGCTACTGTTCATTTGTTCTTTCCTTTGCCCACTCACTGTGGTTTTATATCTCAGCTATGGTTTCTAATACTAAAATCACCATTCAGGTCTTTCTATCCTCTGCCTTACTGAGGCTGTTTTCCCCAGCTTTTAGCATGATCCTGGGGCTTGCTGTGGCATCTCAGTGGTGCCTGTTTACTCAGTCACTGTGTTAGGTGAAGGCATTCTGATGAATTGGGCACTTTGGCTGGGTGGTGGACATTTTGTTTTCTAGGATTTTCCTGGTTCTTGACACCTGACCATCAGTTGAAAGCTGAGGATACTGGAGATTTATGAGCCTCTGGGTCTCTTTAGGTCCTGTTTCAGCTGGCTCGCTCTGAATCCATTCTAGCATGGTGGGGGGGCAAGAAGAACCACCAGTGATGGATGGGAGCTGAGTCCCCATGGCTCCGATGACACAAGCAGGGAGGTGGTGCTGCCAGGAGGTCCTGCCCAATGTTTGACACACACTGGCGGTGGGAAAGTGGCCATAGGCTGTCTTACTATCCCTGGAGTGTGTGAAAATCCAGGCTCTCCTCTGAGCCTCTGCTGAAACGGTGCAGATGGAGTCTACATTGTTTCTCTATGACCGGCTGGCTCGTTTTACATAGCCAGGCTGTCCTTTTCCTGGTACCGTCACTAGAGCAGACCGTGTGTGTCCAAGCATGTCCTCTTTGGTACTTCTGGGGTGCTGCCTTTCTTAGTCACAAACCTGAACTGTACGAGGCAAAAGAGAACGCAGAGAATTTAGCACACGGGGCCTTGGGTCTTTTGAGGCCCTACTGAAGTCTCTGCCACTTCCCCATTCAGGCTTGCCCTAGTTTGTTGCATGAATAATAAGAGATTTTAGTTGTACTTAACTGGAGAAATAGAGAAAAGCACACCTACTCCGTCTTCCCAGCTATCAGTCTCCATTCAACCCTATTCTAAACTGGTGTGGGTTTTCTGTCTGTCATTTTGAGATGAGGCTTCACTATGCTGACCAGGCTGGACTCAGGCAATCCTCCCACCTCAACCCGGGACTATACCAAGTGTTAGCACAAGCACACAGATCCAGTCTAACTAGGTTGTTGTTCTAAAAATAGCTATAAAACCTTCATTTGTGTGAGTATGTTCATGTGGGGGAGGGTGTGCAGATGCCAGAGGCCAACCTTGGTGTCATTCCTTAGGAGCCACCGACCTCCCTCCTCAAGGTCTCTCAGCAGCCCAGGGACTCTCCAAGCAGGTTAGGGTTGCTAGTTTAGGGAGCCCCAGAGACCCACCAGTCTCTGCTTTTCCAGCATGAGGATTGCAAGCTTGCAATGCCATGCCCAGCTTTGTTGTTGTTGTTGTTTGTTTGGGTTTTGTTGTTGTTGTTGTTTTGGACTAAGAACTGAACTTGGGTCTCATGCTTGTATGGGAAGGCCCTTTACCAACTGAGCAGCTTCCCCAGCTCTAAGTTTCTATTCTCTCTGCTTTCACTCGTGGGAACAACTGGGGCTAGCAAGTGGGAGCCAAGTCAGTCCTTCCCAAGGGTTCCGGTTTCTTATCTGACTCTGTACAGGAATGTTCAGGAACATCCAGGGCTCTATTCCAGGACGCAGAGGTCATTTCTTCCCAGTATTTGTCTTTCAGTTCACGATTCACCTCTCTTTCTCTGGGAGAGGGGCTGGAACAGTTTAAAGATTTCTCTTATTTTTCTGCAATCTAGGATCTAAATGTAATTACTTTTCTTAGTTGTTCAAGAATTGTATTGTTTGTTAAAGGGCCCAAACCACTGATTTAAAAAAAAAGTGAATCCCCTGCCACACACGATAGGACACACCTGGAACTCTAGATCTAGGAAGGTTGAAAGGCAAGTTGATCCTGAATACAAGGCCACTCTGGCCTAGAGTGAGCTATGTCTCAAAAAACAAAAGAAGTCCCAAAACTTGATATGATTGCTAATACTAAGTGCCAGGCTGTCCCAAGCTTGCCACGTTTCCTCACGAAACCTTCAGAATAAGCTTCAGATATAGGCGTTTGCATTATCCCCATTCACACAGGAGAGGCAACTAAGGTACAGAGGCCCAAAGAAACGCAAGTCTCACAACTGGACAGTGGTGACGCTCAGCGGGGCCTAGTGGCACAGGACTGTATTACTCCCAACTACAGGAGAAGCAGAGACAAGAGGGACACAGGTTCAAGGCCAGCGTGACTCCAGATCCACACCCCCACTTAAGGCAGACTCCCTGAGGCCGAGGCTGCTCTGTGCAGTCTGAGGTGGAGCACTTGCCGGGAAACCCCTTACAGTCATGAATGCACTCGCTCCTCGAGGGACAGTGTATTGTCTTTCTGCGGCTCAAAATTTTGTCACCAACTCTCCACAGTTTGCTTACTCTTACAAGCTGATCAAAACAAGCAGAAACCGGAGCAAGTGCCGCAACGTGCCACCGGGCTGCAAACCTACCCTGTGCAAGAGCGCACTGAGATGCTTCCATGTGACTCGGGATCGAAATATGTCCGCGGGAGAACACACAGCCGTCACCACTTCACACTCCAGGACCTCCTGGCCCCCTTTAATTGCCAAATTCGTATCCCCATTCCAAATCTTTTGTACAGTTGAAAATACGGAACTGCCAAAGTGAGAAGTCCCTTCACAGAACTGTTGAAAACCAATAGATCACAAACAGGAGGTCCCAGGTTCCTGCTTGCAAACACTAAAAACATTCCATCCCAGCACACAGAAATACCCTCGGGTTCTGTTATGTTCCATACAGCTTTGACTCCCCCTTTTTGATAATTTCTTCCATTTCGTCTGAGATCTTCCCTTTATAGTCGTTTGGTTCTATCGCTTTTAACTTCTCTTGATACTCCAGTGGCAAACCGTTTTCTTTTGCACCCATGCAGATAACCTAGAAGGGGTTAAAACAAGGACGTCCTTTTCGTTAGGGGCATGCTTTAGTGTACCATAGCTTGGTCTGTACTGTCAAAAGTCCACAATATTGGCTTTAGATGACTAAAGAATCAATACTTTGTTAAAAAAAACAAAACCTAGCCACAGCCACTGTTCCTCATTCTGAGGGTGTCTGCAGAAGGGATCTCAAAGCAGCTTGAAGCATTGTCAGAGTATCAATTCCACTCAATGGCATGACTTAAAATGTTTTATATTAAGACAAAATGTACTGTTATAGTATAAGATTTAGGTGATGTTTTAAGAAAAATTACAATTTTTTTTTTTGGTTTCTTAGAGACAGGGTTTCTCTGTGTCACAGTCCTAGCTGTCCTGGAACTAGTTCTTGAAGACCAGACTGGCCTCGAACTCACAGAGATCCACCTGCCTCTGCCTCCCAAGTGCTGGGGTTAGAGGCGTGTGCCACCACCGCCTGGCAAAAACTTACAACCTTTAAAAAAAAAATAAAAAGGCAAAGCTTTTAGGCAGCAGCTGTCAATGCCACTGTCTACTTCTGCTTAGAAGAGACACAGAGGACAAGGGATCCCCAAGATGGGCACCATGCCAGAGGCTCAGCCCCTGTGTTACCCTCTACATCAGCCAGGTCTCCACAGGCCACACAAGGTACCTAACCTTGGGTTTCTACCAAGGGGCATCCGGCCTCATCCCACTTGGATTTTGTGTTTTGGAGGGTGGATTCCCTGACTCCAAAAGGCCTAGTGACCTTTTCATTTAGGGAAGAAAATACTTCAGCAACGGAAAACACACTCCCCCTTCATGAAAAAAAATTAATCTGTTCTATGAGCTACTGTTTGTTAAAGAAAAAAATTATAAAACTATAAAAAATTATAGTATGTATAGACTATTATACATATATAATAGATACTATAAATCTATTAAAATACACTTTCCTTATTTAAAACATTTTGATTAAAACACTGATATGGGATTTCAAGTTTGTAAAAGCTTTCTAACAATGAAACGCCCTCTAACTCAGCCCAGTGGAGTTAAAGATTGCGCACAGCCCAGTAGCTCACCTTCTTATACTGTGGTGATGGGGGAGCGCTCTCGTAATTCGTCATCAGGTAACTTCGACAGGTTATTTCTTTCCCTTCCTGAGTTGACACTTTAATTTCTATTACAACATATACTCCACTTTTAACTCCTTCTTGCCTGAAACCAAATGAAGAACATTTTAACCACATTTAGGAGACTGGTTTATAAGGTAAGATGCTTAACTCAAGTTGAAGTATAAGATTAACCCTGTATCTGCATAGGCATGTTTGCTCACTAAGTGTCACCATGTCAAATATACACTTAGCATTTTTTTGTAACCACTATGCAGCCCTGTCTGGCCTGGAACTCGCTATGTGGACCAGGCTGGGTTCAAACACACAAAGATCCACTTGCTTCTGTCTTCCGGGTGCTGAAATTAAACATTTGCCCAGCCTTGCTTTTGTGCATTACCATGTCCGATATGCTCAGCATTTTAATGTTGCAGTTGGCTTCTGGATCCATAGATCCAACCAACTTTGGACTGAAAATATTTTCTAAAACTTGGGTCTTAACTGAACATATGCAGATTCTCTTCCTGGTCCTTATTTCCTTAAAAGGAAAGCTATTCCGGTAAACTACACTGATATTGTATATGCAGTGAAGTAACCCCAGGTGATGCTGTTCCGGTAAACTACACTGATATTGTATACACAGTGAAGTAACCCCAGGTGATGCTGCAATGCATGTGGGTACCGGCAGGTCACATGCACGCATGTAGCACTTTACACAAGGGACTTAACATCTGTAGATTCTGTGAACAAAGACAACAAGCGCACTGGTACACTCATGCAGATCTCTGTATGTTTTTCTGTCTGAAAACATGCTTCAATCTGCTTATTTGTACCTCTGTGCCCTGAAGCACTACCCTGAAGCAAGAGCGTACCCGAAGAGGAAGCAGAGGCTCTGCTTCCTCCAGCTTCAGCCAAGTACAGCACACCCGGACACTAGGCTCTTTTCAAGGCCAGCTCTTCCTGGCAGTGTGCATCATATCAGGCACGCCTTCACACAACTCTGAGAATTTTAGTTCTACTGTATTTTTCAATGTCTTTACAAATTCTTTTTAGTTATTCAAGTGTAACCTCAAAGAATTGAAAAAACCAACACACTTTCAAAATCAAAAAAAAATGCAACAATTATAAAAAGCTTCATGACTTTTTGCATTGTGAAACCAAAAAGATAATTTTAATAATAGAAACAGAATTTAAAAACCAGGGCTTCTGTCTTTTTGCCTGAGACTGCGAACATCGCCCTGACCCAATCAGTAAGCGTGCCTCTTTGTAGATTTACAAATAAACCGCAGTTTCTAACTGTCGCACTAGCTCTGAAGCATAAAGTGTATCTACAGCGCATCCGCAGACGCGACCGCTGTCAGAACTATTGTAACTTATAATTAGAAGCCACCTACTCATCCAGGGAACTCAAATTGCTTTTGTTCATTTTCCACACTACTCCCCACACTTCGTCGCCAGGACTTTGAAAAATGGTAGCTATACCTCCATGCCACCTCTCACTTGTTTTGCCTTGGAAATTGCCAAAGTCGAGCTTAAAGTCCTGCAAAGAAAACAAAGCGATATAGGATCAATACCTATTTTAGCAAGAATTCCTCTCTTCAAAATACAAATGATTTGCCTTGAACTCCATGCGAGAAAAAACATTTGATAACCTTTGTTTTCGTGTACAAAAGTGTGGAAAATAAAGATAAACAGACCAAGACCCAAATCTCAAGGACTATAGATTCATTTTTATTTTCCTTTAAAAATGAAGCTTGCTCTGAACATAAAGGCATCTAAACATAAAAAAAAAACCCTTAAGGAAATCCAATATGTCATATAGTAGCTTTAGCTTTCATTTTTGCAAAGGACTTCTCAGTCTACTTAAATGCACGTGTATTTTCACTTAGACTGGGTGATGTTACATGTCTGCACAGTATCTTACCTGAATCACTATATTTACGCTAAGTGAGCTGATTTAGGGTGTATAAGCATTAATCTTCATGAACTGTATCAATTTATTTTCAGTACCTAAGAGCAGCTAATACTTACTGAATATTCATTATGTGCTATATACATTAGCTGTTACTTTACATGGACCAGTGTTTTACTTAATTTACGGCAGAAAAATTACAGTGTAGAAGGATTAAGTCACTTCCCTAAAGTCTTATAACTAACAAATAACAGAGCCTCCATTCTAAGTTAGCTTGTACTATCATCGATGGGCAACCAGAGTGAGGGCATCTGCCTTGTGTGGCCTAAGATGTCCTTCAATCTCTTCACAGCACACAGGATGGACTAAATGACAGTGTTGTAGTCCTTTTTGGTCACCTCTGTTTTCTCCAAAATTTTGTTCGACAACACAGAGAAAATGCTGGTCCAAGTACCCAAGACCTTCCAGCAGCATACTGGGTATTCTAACATCAGTAGAAGAGACTGGCAGCATACCTCTTGCTAAATGCGGCAGGCATTGATGTGGAATAATCCTTCCTTACTCTGATATGTATCACTCTCATTGGTTAATAAAGAAGCTAAGACTGGCCTCTAGTAAGGCAGGATAAAGTTAGGCAGGACAATCAAACTGAGGATACTGGGATGAAGGGCTGAGTCAGGGAAGACATCAGTTGGCTACTGAGAAAGCAGGACGTATATAAAAAAAATGAGGTAACAAGCCATAAGCTACATGGTGAAGAATAGGTAAGAAATATAGGTTAATTTAAGTGTAAGAGTTAGCTAGTAATTAGCCTGAGCTATCTTCCAAGCATTTAAAAGTAGCATTAAGCCTCTGTGTTGGTTACTTGAGAGCAGGTGGCTGGGACAGGAAAGCTCTGCCTATAGGCAGTTTCATTCCGTTTGGTTCCAAGGTTCACTGCACCTGTGTGACACAGCAGCCACCTCTCCGGCCCTTTCTTCTGATTTGAGGTTGACCTGATGATCTTCTCACCTCTTTGTCAACTCCTTTCTGCTCCCCATCTTGAAATGTCAGGGTTTCTTGGGGTTCAACTTAGGTTCTTTTTTAATTTAGCAATGTTCCCAGACAGCCTCACCACCTCTGGCAGCTTCTAATACCACCGAATGCTTCAGTCACCTCTAAAACCAGTCCGCGTCTCTATTACGAGACACAAAAGCAATTAGAGCACAGTAATGCCTAACAAATGTTCACTGATATTTTCCTGTTCTCCTGGCTGTCTAGGTAGCGTCTCAAACTCAATTATATTCAAAGTTGGTTCATAAGTTTTACCTCCCAAACCTGATTCTCCTCGGTAAACATTGCCACCATCCTCTACCTGGTTGTGCAAAAACTTGAGTCATATTTGTATTGCTTCCCTTCACACACAATCATCAACGTTCAGTGATGTTATCTTCTAGGTATTGCTCAGAGCCATCTACCTTCCCTGACACCTCCCTGCTAGACCACAGTGGCATTATCTTTGAAATGAACATGGCAAAATCTCAACTAGACTTCCAATAGCCACACTTGCTCCATTTTGCACAGTAACCAGGATGCGCTTACAAAGATGTAAGTCCCGTCATTTGCTTTGATCCTCAGGGCCCGCAAGAGATGTCCAAAGGTCTCTGTGGTCACGTTAAGACGCGATACTTTCTTATCTCTCCAGTCCTCAAGGCCACATGTTAGAGACTCCAGCTACTTTGACTGGAACAACCACTTCCTCTTTTTTCAGGTCCTTTGAACAAGTACCTTATCTTGGTTTCTGTTTGTTTGTTTTTTGCTCTTCTTCTTTCCATTCAGGTCTTAGCTTAAAAGTTCTATTCAGGAGGGCTTTCCTGAGCATCTTGGTTAGATTCTCTGGTCATATAACGTCCTCTTCTAAGGCTAACCACAGCTAGAATTTATTATTTATGCGATATTTCTTTCCTGTGCCCTGACTAAGCATTTGAGCTTCCTTCCTGCACACTTTGGAGTTTCGGGTAGGCAGTACAGAGCATGACCCCAGTTTTCAAACTTCAAAGGCTAGAAGTTGGTTAGCAATGATCGTCTTGCAGTAAGGACATGGATACATGTTGAGACTTAGCCATTTAGGGTACCCAGAGAGGCTCTCAATTAGAGCTAGTGTTCAAGACCATCAGGGATTCCACTCTAGGTGTCAGAAACTGCAGGGCTATGGCATAGCAGCATTTACTAGTTTACTAGTTCAGGAAAGGTGCAGCGCAGGCCTGGGCTGGTCCTCTCATCCAAGGCTGGTTTTACACACACCAGACCTGCCTGTTGACTCAGCTCCGTACTCCAGTCTTTCAACAGGATGAGCTCTCTAACATCTTCCAACATCCTCTCTCCCGCCCCCTTTCTTTCTTAGACCTGCCGGTTTCTGTTGCCTGAAACCAAGAACTCTGACAAGGTTAGCAAAGATCGTGCATACTTGGCTCAAGTTATCAAAGGCACGACACACAATCGGACTGTACACAGGTAGGTCTTCCAAGTAGCGAGGCTGCTCAGTCATCTTTGTAAGCCCAGCACTGAGTGCCAGAAGAATACGAATTAAATAAGCAAATGAACTGTGGTCAAGAGCAACAGTTCACCAGAGTTAGTTAAAGTTTATCGGATAGGGACACAGGACTCCTGAGGGAGCACCTCCATATGAAAGACACGACTCCAGGTTCTGATCCAGGTCTCAAGAACAGGACCACTCAGATATGGAGGAAAAGACAGATACACAGAATTTCAAAAAACTGTGGGGGACAAGTCCTGTGACAAAGGCATGCACAGGATGGAAAGCAGCTAGTTCCCATAGATGGCATCCGATAGGATGGTGGGAAAGGACAGCCGGTGGAGGGCTGCGAACCCTGAGGGTAGCCAAAAGTTCCCGGGAGGGATCGCCCCTGGCCGGCTCTCCCGGTAGCGGGCACAACGGCACTGACCTGCAGGCGCGCCACGCAGCAGAACACGGCGGAGGGGTTTCGCAGGTGGATCCTCTCGGTCAGTAGGTTGCTGCCGTAGGCGAAATACAGGAACGTCTCCCCCTCCTGGCCCGCGTGGTCCTCCCAGCCGGAGCTCGCCATATCTGCCAGTCCACGCCAGCAGCTCCAGGTACTGGTGAGCTCTGCCGGCGCTGCCGCAGGAGCAGCGCGCCGCCACCCACGGGTGAGCGCAGAGCAGTGGGCGGAGCTTCGGAGAGAGCGCGCTGAAGATTGGCTGCCGGCCTGCCGGCATAAGCCGACTACAGTGATTGGTCCGTCTGCACCTCCCCCACTAGGATCGCCTACCCATTGGATGGACTCCTCGGATGTCCGGCCCCCTGCCTAAGGCTACGCTGATTGGCGGACCTAACGGCAGCGCGAGAGCGGCTACACGCTTCTGTGTTCTCCCGGCCTGGACGCGCAGGTAAGACAAGGCCTCACACTCCTGTCCGTCCTAGCCTGCAACTCGGGGCAATCCTCCTGCCTCGACCTCCCTAGAGCGGGGACGGCTAATCCAACAAGCTTTGTAGGGATCCTTCACTCTGGATGCCTGGGGCGCCCTTCCCTGTGTTCAGATCCCGACATGGGATCTGCTAGACACTTGACCCCTTTCATGTTTGCTCGCCGTTTCCTCCTTTTAAAAACGAGTCACCCAAAACCTCTATGCTTTAATAATCTTGAAATGAAGATAGGAGTGCAAACTGAAGGCCTAGGGTGATGACTGCCATTGGACCTCAGATATGGATTTAAATACAACTCCACACCGACAGGGGCCAGGATTCCTGGAGACTGAATCCAGGTCAAAGCTGGGAGTGAACAGTACCTCTTAGAACATGCTTCAGAAAGGGAGAATCCTGAGACAAGCAAGGTCCTTCCCAAAAGAATACCCACTAGACAAAATGAGAACAATTCGAGCCTCAAAACAATGGGAAACTAAACTGTGATCGTTAGCATTAAATGTGTCATTGCCCTCAGGAAGTAAGCCACATTAAAACGGAAAACAAAACCAGATTGCCACACTGTCGGTGGTGAACATTTCATCCTTTACTTTAAAAAGTGGTTATTTAAGAAAATAGTGTTTGCCGGGCGATGGTGGTGCACGCCTTTAATCCCAGCACTGGGGAGGCAGAGGCAGGCAGGTCTCTGAGTTCAAGGCCAGCCTGGGCCACAAGAGCTAGTTCCAGGACAGGCTCCAAAGCTACAGAGAAACCCTGTAGTGTGTTTATTCTGCCTTTCTAGTGCTGGCTGTATTTTTGGAAACCCAAATATACCAGCTAAATGCAGGAAAGAGGGTAGACCATCATGATTCAGTCTCTACTGAAACAAACCTTGTCAGGAGCATCAGTGGAACTGCTTGTCAGGAAGGTCACAGGGGTGTTTGTAGGGTTTCAGGTAGTCCCCCAGGGATAACTGCTAGTCATGGGGGAGGGGGACCAGGGCCACCTGGGAAGCCTGAACTCTCACCTGATGGCAAGTCAATCTGGTCACCAATAAAGAAGACTAGCCCGATATGGTCTTCTGATTTGAAGCAACACGGAACTCCAGCATCTGCAAGTTATGAGCAGCAAAGGTCTCGCAACATCACCTTTTTATATCATCCTGTTTTTGAAACCTTTCATGTGGAAGGAAAAGTGGAAACAGTCAGGAACACCTAGAACCTATCTCTTAAATTATTGTGATTAAAAATAAAAAGTAACGCTGGGGCTCGCTAGATGGATAAGCAGGCGTAGGCACTTGCTACCAAGCCAGAAGGTTTGAGAGTTAGATCTCCAGGTCCCAGGAAAGATTCAGCTCCTACAGGTTTCCTTTGATCTCTAAATTATCCGAAGTTTGTAATGTCCCTACTGCAGAGTACTGCAATTTAAGGCTTTGTTTTAAAAATTTGCTTATTTGTGGGTTTGGGTTTTTTTGTTGTTGTTTTTTGAGACAAAAGTTTTGCAATGTTGTCTAGTGTTGGGGGTCACGTGAGAGGAACAGCAAGCAGCTTCAGGATTCATGGAGTCGACATAAACAGGCTGGGTGAGCCTTGGAGCGGAGAGCTCAAGAACTGTGTGTCCCGAGGACCTTGTGCTGTTGTTGAGCACAGCTCTGCTTATTGCCCTCGAGGTCACCATGTCCCTCATAATCTATGAATTGTCTGAAAACCCTCGGAGTTTCTAGCCCCTCAATGGGCAGTGTTACGGGTACCCAAAATAATAGTGATTGGCCTTTTCCAAGCATTGATGCAGGAGTTTATTAATGATTTAACCACCACCCTTGGAAAGAATTTAGAACCAGGAGGTGATGGTACACGCCTTTAAACCCAGCAGTCAGTAGGCAGAGGCAGGAGAATCTCTGAGTTTGAGGCCAGCCTGGTCTACAGAGTGAGTTCCGGGAAAGTCAAAGATACATAGAAACCGTGTCTCAGAGAGAAGAGAGGAAGAGAGACTTAGTAAGGTTAGATTAACGTGTTTTTGTTACTGGCTTTGATGTAGAAAATCTTGGGGGAACGATTTAATGTTTAGAAAGGCACACTTTTAATAGCTGAACAAGGGATGAGAGCATTTCTTGTACCCATTTCTGCCCTGGCATCCTGGTATGATTTAATAGAAAATTCGTGATGAGTGGGTGTGTTGCACTCTGAGGACTTAAAGTAGAAATAGCTTTTTATATATATAAAAGTGTAGATTAGTGATTCTTTTAGGTTTTTTTTTATAAGATTACCTTTTGAGATAAATAGTAAAATGTTTGGTCCTTTCTTTGTAACCACAAAATGCAGCTTGTCGGTAAAAGAACTGACTGAGACCCTTGCTTGCCTATGCTTTGTTAATCTATAACAAGTTGCTTAGGCGTGAATATATATGGGTCCTTGGGAGTGATTTGTTTTTTACCTGTATTATGCAAAATGTTTAATCATCTAAGGGAAATGCGAAACATGCTGGGTTGTTTTTTTTTTAACTTGCATTCATTGTAGTAATTCATTTAAAAAAATAGACTGTAACTACATGGTAATTTTTTTATTGTTTGAAAGATTTTGCTGGGGTATAGAAGCTATGCAAAGATATATAGAAGGAAGACATCTAGGAAGAGATAGAAGGAGAACAACTGGGGAAAAGAAGGAGGAGAGCATCAGGGTAGAAGAAGAGAACAGAGAAAGATTGAATAGGAGTGACAGAAAGAGAAAAATAAAATGAACAAGGAAGCTTTGGCCCCTAGAAAAGACCCTGTGTGTCTGTGCATCTGTCCAGCAGTTCACCTATTCCGTATCTTCTCTCTGGTGTCTCTGACCTGCTGAACTCTCCATCCTAAGTACTGGCGTTATAATCCAGTCCCCGCAGATCCAGCAATTTAATTATTTTAAAGGTTATTTCTTTTCTCTTCTTGTACATCTTTCAGATGGCTTAATTTCATAGCTGTTAGTTATTCTCTACACTTTTTTGTGAAAAAAATCTAAAATGAATGTTTTCTTAAACTCTGAAAATCTTGCTAATTCCAAATACTTATTTCGCTATCCCATGGAAAATGTGTGCAAAGCACTATTGGCCAGCAATGGGCAGTAAGTAGCAAGGTTAATTCCGGCTTTTGTATTTGTCACTATTTCAACCAAACCCAAGTTAATCCTAGTTAACACTCACCTAACCCTTGTTAACTGAGGCCATAGCCTAAATTCCTTCATTTACTAATTCACTTGTCTCTGGAGAAAGCTCTATGCAGAATGTACTGTTATCCTGTCACAGGTGTGGACAGGCAGGCTGTAGTTAGCAATGGCTGGAGCAGATCCCACCACTCCTGGGTCCTGCCTCCCAGACTGCCCACCTTGCAGCACTCTAGATAGAATAGGTATATCTATTATAGAGGTATAGTAGATAATATAATAGGGTGCTCTAACTATAATAGTTAATAATAACCAGATATACCCTATATTACAATCCAAGATATTATAAAACATTAGCCTCAGTCACTTGATGATAATGATAGCAAGGCCAGATGTCTTCCAAATGCCATCTTTTTTTTATTTTATTTTATTTATTTATTTATTTATTGGTTTTTTCGAGACAGGGTTTCTCTGTGGCTTTGGAGCCTGTCCTGGAACTAGCTCTTGTAGACCAGGCTGGTCTCGAACTCACAGAGATCCGCCTGCCTCTGCCTCCCGAGTGCTGGGATTAAAGGCGTGCGCCACCACCGCCCGACCCAAATGCCATCTTTTAATCCAGTTTTCTTTTGAGTTTTTTGATTGTGTGATAAATATTTTTGAGCATGAACAAATATAATTCTCTATATATTAACCTATGTGGCTGTACATTAAAGACAAAATCAATAGCATTATGTCACATTATACAGGTACTATTACTTGTTAATTTATAAATGAACCCTTCCATCCACCCCAGGCTGAGAAGGAGGCACCATGGCGATGCCCCAGCCTCGATGCGTCACCCACCTCATCTTTGACATGGACGGGCTACTTCTGGACACGGAGCGACTGTACTCGGTGGTGTTTCAGGAGCTGTGCGGCCGCTACGGGAAGACATACAGCTGGGAGGTCAAGTCCCTTGTGATGGGGAAGACGGCTCCAGAAGCTGCGCAGATCATCATCGACACCCTGCAGCTGCCCATGTCCAAGGAGGAACTGGTAGAGGAGAGCCAGGCCAAGCTGGCAGATCTGTTTCCCACAGCTGCCCTCATGCCAGGGGCTGAGAAGCTGATCAAGCACCTCCGAAAGCACAGCATCCCCTTTGGCCTGGCCACCAGCTCAGGCTCTATGTCCTTTGAAATGAAGACCAGCAGGCACAAAGAGTTCTTTGGGTTATTCAACCACATCGTGCTGGGAGATGATCCCGAGGTCAAGAGCGGGAAGCCGTCCCCAGACATATTCCTCTCCTGTGCACGGAGGTTCGATCCCGCTCCTGCCCCAGACATGTGCCTCGTCTTTGAAGATGCCCCCAATGGAGTGGAGGCAGCTCTGGCAGCTGGGATGCAGGTTGTCATGGTTCCTGATGAAAACCTGAGTAGAGACTTAACAAGAAAGGCCACCGTGGTGCTGAGTTCCCTGGAGGATTTCCAGCCTGAGCTGTTTGGTCTGCCTGCCTACGAGTGACAGGAGGCAGCCATGGGGTGCTGCCATGGGTCATGTGGCATCCCTGGGGGAACACATGGTCCCTCGGGGCCACATGGCATCCTTGGAGGGGGCCAAGTTCAGGGTCCATGCCACTGAGGAGAAAGGGGAAGGCAATGCATGGCACCAGATCGTGCCTGCTTAGACACTGCAGCCTTGTGAACATAGCCATCCCCACCTGGGTGGGCTTGGCCATCTCTCAGGAGTGTGGTTGGGTCAGTAGTTAGCAAACAGAGAGGGCCCAGGACACAGCTTGGGTACAGTATGTAATGGAGTGATGTTGTCTATGAAGGGAATGAACATGCACACAGACCACAGCATTGTGTGAATACATATGTGCCAATATATATCCATACATATATATAAAGTATATATGTAAATGTATAATGTTCCAGAGTGAAATCATATTTGTGTTTATTTCCTTGTAATCTTTGTGAATAATGGCATTTGGGAAATGTAAACTCCATACATAGGTGTATGACATATATGTACATATGTATATCATACGCACACGTGTGTGTGTGTAATAGATCATGTGTATGATACACCACTTTGTCGCCTTCAGGGTGGACATTAATGTAATACCAACTGATGATGAGTCTACTCTCTCCCCCTGCTGACCTTAATGGTGGATTAGCTTTGTGATAGATGAACATCAAGAAATATCCTTCCTCTCCAGCCTCACCATCATCCCAGACACTCTCTGGCCTTGGACTCCATGCCTGACTGAGCTCCATCTCAAGGAGACCCCTCCATTTCTGCGTATGTCTGTATATCTTTTATCTACTCCCTCATCCATGTTGGGGTGTTTTCTACCTCAAGGGAAAAAAATATAATCTGATTTTCTTGATGTAACAACTTTATTTCAACGTTGCTGATTACATGTCTAGTCTGCTGTTCATTCCTCCATTCCTCTTCAGAACAGTTGTGATGTCTCACTAGCATCCTCACAGCGATGATTTGGTTGTGGAGTATGTTAACGGGAGTCATGATTTTACCTTTAAATAAAATATCTTCCAGCCATCATGAACTATTTTAATGGTCATATGAATTCTGACATCTGCCTATTGGCCAGTTTCAAGGCACTGTAGGTCAAGGTTATATATATATATATATATATATATATATATATATATATATAGAGAGAGAGAGAGAGAGAGAGAGAGAGAGAGAGAGTGTGTAGGGTATGGTAATTGCAGATCATGAACAAGTTCCATGTTTAGCTGTCTTTGTCATGCCTTATAGGTCACCATTACCAGAATGTACTACAGGAGCCTGTACTAGAAGCCTGAAAAAATGCTTTTTTTTCTTCACTTGTACTTAAATTTTAGAAAGGGCATGGGTTCAGTTCTTTGTAAAAATCTTTTAAATCGCGTTTCCATTTTTGTGAGAATCAGTTAATTATAAGTAAATTTGATGCGTATCTTTGAGAGAGACGGGGCCTCTCTTGGGCCAGATGGGCTTAAGGTGCAAAAGCCAACCTGAGACAGTCACTCTGGAGTTCTGTGTCTGAAGTCAGTGAGGAATAAAGTCACGAACCGGGGAGAAGTGAGCGAAGCAAAGGCAGCTTATCAAGAAAATCTGAGAAAACTCCTGAGTGGGAAGGATGTTGTAATAGGAGCGGTGGGCTACGTTCCTGGCACCCAGCTACCCGCACAGCTAGCTCTATACCCGAAATAATTACATGGAAACTGTATTCTTTTAAACACTGCCTGGCCCATTAGTTCCAGCCTCTTATTGGCTAGCTCTTACATATTGATCTAACCCATTTCTAATAATCTGTGTAATACCACAAGGTGGCTTACCAGGAAAGATCTTAACCTGCGTCTGTCTGGTCTGAGTGGGAGAATCATGGCGACTGCCTGACTCGGCTTCTTTGTCCCAGCATTCTGTTCTGTTTATTCTGCCTACCTAATTTTCTGTCCTATTAGAGGGCCAAGGCAGTTTCTTTATTTAACCAATGAAATCAACACAAAACAGAAGACTCCCACGTCAGAAGGACACAAGGAGGATAAAATGGATGACCTGCCTGCATTGGGCCTTTTTCTAGGACTTATGGCAGAAACTATACAAAGACCAATTTCTACTGAGATAGTTTAATTCTGTACGCAAAATATGGGGCAGGCTAGTGGGGCACCCACACACTTTGGGCCTGGCCTTCAGGCCCAAACAAAGCTGCCCACCAGCGGCTTGCCTGATTGGAGGAGTTACACTGCATCCCCACTCTGCTCACCTTGGCCCGTTTGTGGTGATGCCAACCCTAGTAGGGTGTGGCTGATCTCCGACCTCGGCAGGAGGCTTGCTGCTGCTCTTTGTTCTCAACCTTTAGGAGGCTGGTTTGTAATTTAACGGGGCCTCTTTTATTTCCTGCCTAGGGAGAGCTAGCTGCTGCCTAGAATACATTTAACCAAGCTCGGGCAAATGGCCAAGTCCCAATATAGAAGAGGGGAATGAGTGAGGGCCAGCATCACTGTCAACCCTTCCCCAAGACGGCCCCCCTTCCCTTGAGATCTCTCACACCTATGCAGCAGAGATCAGCAGGGGACTGTTATCACTTAAATTACAATGGAAGTTTCTTTAGTTATCACAATAAAGACAAACTAGGGAAGCAAGAATCTTTCTGCTATTTAAATAAGTAAAAATCGAATTTTACTGATTTTCATACTTTTGCAGGCCAGCTCACTCTTCCACTGCCATCGGTTTTTACTTTTGTTTTTAGAGACAGGGTTCTTCTCTGAGTCCTGGAACTCTCTAGTTCAGGCTGGTCCTGAACTCAGATTTGCTTTTGATCTCTGTGTCTGTGTACACACAATGAACGTGAGTACCTTTGGAGGCCGAAAGAAGGCATCAGATCCCCTGAACTAAAGTTGCAGGTGGTTGTAAGTGAGTGCCCTGCATGGGTAGTGGGAATTCAACTAGGGTCCTCTACTAAAGCATTAAGTGCTCTTAACTGTTGAGCCATCTCTCCAAACACCCAAGATCCGGTCTTTAAAAACAAAAACAAGTGGAGTGTTTTAGGTAGGGATATGCCCCCGAGTTCTGTTTCATCTCTGTGGTTCTGGGTACTGAGAGGAGATTCAGTAGTTCAGAGACAGAACAGCTACTGTGAAGTTGACAGAACTCTGTGTTTGTTTTTGTGGTGCCGAGGATTGAATGCAGAGCCTCATATGCTAGGGAAGTGCTCACACCCCAGCCTGCACCCACGTATTTGACACCTTGAGATGGTACCTGGGACTGGGGTAGAGGGGCTGAGGCTGCAGAGAAAAGGGCCTGACCTGGTTCCACAGACCAGAGCTGCCGGGTGACTTGCTGTGAGTCCATGCTTGGTCGGCTCTCATTGCAGTCTTTCTTGATTTTCCTTCTGGAGAAGGAAGTGGGGGTCGGTGAGCAAAGGGGTCTGGTTTTCCTCCAGTCGTTTGAACCTGAATCTAAGTGGTTCGGCTCTGAGTTGGTGGAGGAGACGTGGGTGAAGAGATAAAGATGAACCTGCAGCAGGGAATTGGAAAGTAGGTGACAACAAAATCAGAGAAGGCAGGTGCAGAAAACATGAGCACATTCCGGTGCCGTCCCAGCTGGTGACACCTCCCCTAGTTCAAAGACACTCTTGTAAATCTCACCCTTAAGCAACACTGTTAATGAAATAGGGGCATAAATACATTATTATCTGAGGCAGGGTCTTGCTCTATAATCAGCCTCAAACTTGCCATGTAGCCCAAGCTAGCCTTGAATTTGCAGTCCTCCTGCCTCAACTTCCCAGATGCTGGGATTACAAGGATGGCAACCACACCAATCTTACGAAATGCATGTGGTTTGGGAAGCAATGTATTTCATCTCACATCAGTAATTCAGGGTGTGCCTTAAAGATCTCTGCCTCCCACAGTAAAGTGCACTGCTGGGCGGGTCTGCATTAATTCAGATAATTAGACATGTCATACACCCGTAATCTCAGCACTCAGAGATGGAAGCAAGAGGATTATGAGTTCAAGGACAGCCTTGGCTACACAACACAGTGAGACCCAATCTCAAATACCAATAAAATAAGAGGGCTGGAGAGATGGTTCCGCAGTTAAAAGGCACTTGTTACTCTTCCAGAGGAGTTCAGTTCCAGCATGCCTGCAAGATGACAACTATCTATAGATTCAGTTCCCAGGGTTTTGACACCCTCTTTTGGCCTGCCTTGGGCACCTAATCGCACGTAGCATATACTTACATGGAAATACACATACACACAAATAAAATCAAAATAACTGTGTCTGGTCTAGAAGGTCCCTCAGCTGTTCGAGTGCTTGTGCTCAAACCTGAGAACCTGAGTTTTTGATACCCAGCACCCATATTAAAAAAAAAAAAACAGCTATGAAGTGTGCACTTATAAATCTCAGCACTGAACGGCAGAGAAAGATGGATACTGCAGGCCAGCCGACCAACCAGCCAGCCCCTGGTTCCAGTGAGCGACTGTGTCTCAGAAAACAAGGTGGACAGCTCCTGGCGAATGACACCCGTGGATGAGTTCCAGCCTCCGTGTGTGTGTGTGTGTGTGTGTGTGTGTGTGTGTGTGTGTGAGCACCCTCCCACACGGACACACATCCCTGCACACTCCCCCACTTCACATACAAAAACCAGTGTGAACATATGTAAATGATGTGGAGAATAGAAAAGTTGTCAGCGATTCTATAGTGTCCCAGATTATACTGTGTGAAATGAGCATGTACTTCTGATCATCGCAAGGATGTGGAGTAAGAAGTATCGAGAAAAAAATTTGGTATGCTGCCTAAAGGACGAATGAGCGCTCGGAGTCAGCTTCCTCCTTCCCACCCGTGAGCAGCTAGTGTCCCACTCTGCTCTTCCCCATCTCCTCCTACCTCTCTGGAGCACAGTTCCCAGCCTCTCCCAGTCAGCCAGGAACAGCTCCCCTGCCAGTGCATTCTCTGATTCTGCTACTGCGGGAAGGAAAAGGGCCCGGGATGGGGGCAAGGTGGGAATCGTGGGAGGGAAAGTGGGTTTGAAGAATGGTGAGTGGTTCCATTTCTACAAAGCACAGGATTCCTCCTAGGGTAGGAAAGGCAGGCCTGGAAGGATATTAGCACAGTTTATGGGAGGACCTTGAATTTTGCACTAAAAACT